TTACCCTAAAGATACAAACGTAGTGATCCGAAGGGGCACGTGCACCCGAATGTTTATAGCAGCAATGTCTACAATAGCCAATCTATGGAAAGAACCTAGATGTCCATCAACAGACGAATAGATAAAGAAGATGTGGTATATATACACAATGGAATACTATGCAGCCATCAAAAGAAATGAAATCTTGCCATTTGCGACGACGTGGATGGAACTAGAGGGTATCATGCTTAGCGAAATAAGTAAATCGGAGAAAGACAACTATCATATGATCTCCCTGATATGAGGGAGAGGAGATGCAACATGGGGGTTAAGGGGGCAGGAGAAGAGTAAATGAAGCAAGATGGGATTGGGAGGGAGATAAACCATAAGTGACTCTTAATCTCACAAAAGAAACTGAGGGTTGCTGGGGGGAGGGGTGTTGGGAGGGGGGGTGGGGTTATTATGGACATTGGGGAGGGTATGTGCTATGGTGAGTGTGGTGAAGTGTGTAAACCTGGCGATTCACAGACCTGTACCCCTGGGGAAAAAATATATTATATGTTTATAAAAAATAAAATTAAAAAACCTAGTAGATTCCCCAAATACTAAAATAGAACTACACTACTGGATATGTAATGTATCCAGTAATGACACGACTGGATATTTACCAGAAAAGCACAAAAAATCTAGTGCACAGAGAACCTCACACTCCTATATTAACAGCAGCATTTTTTACAATAGACAAACTATGGAAACAGCCCAAGTGTCCACCCATTGATGAATGATAAAGAAGATGTGGTATATGTAGAGAGAGTGGAACATTACTCACTCATAAAAAATAATGAAATCTTGACATTTCCAATAACTTGGATGGAGCTGGAAAGATTTATGCTAAATGCATTAGTCAGTGAAAGAAAATACCATATTATTTCACTCATATGTTGAATTTAAGAAACAAAATGAATGAAGAAAGAGAAGAAAAGAAGGAGAGAAAACAAGAAACGACTCTTAACTACAGACAATAGACTGATGGTTGCCAGAGATGTGGCAGGTGGAGGCTGGTTATGTAGGTTTGCATAATGTTAAATATGTCCTATGATATATGACAGCAATTTAAATAAAAACTTAAAAATAACTGCAAACTGAAACGCTGTTCATGCTCCTGAACTTCATAGCATACCACAGAATTTTTCCATTAAACAAAGCTGATATTTTCCCAGCACCATTAATTGAAGAGACTGTCTTTTCTCCACTGTTCATTTTTTCCTGCTTTGTCGAAGATTATTTGACCATAGAGTTGAGGGTCCAAACCTGGGCTCTCTACTCTGTTCCACTGGTCTATGCTCTTTGTAAAAGAATGAAACTCAACCATTCTCTTACACCATACACAAACGTAAACTTGAAATGGATGAAAGACCACAACGTGAGGCAGGAATTCATCAGAATCCTAGAGGAGAACATAGGCAGTAACCTCTTCGATATCAGCCACAGCAACTTCTTTCAAGATATGTCTCCAAAGGCAAGGGGAACAAAAGCAAAAATTAACTTTTGGGACTTCATCAAGATCAAAACTTCTGCACAGCAAAGGAAATAGTCAACAAAACAAAGAGGCAACCCACGGAATGGGAGATGATATTTGTGAATGACAGTACAGACAGTAGGCTGATATCCCAGATGTAGAAAGAACTGCTCAAGCTAAACAAACACAGAGCAGATGATCACATCAGAAAATGGGCTGAAGACATGAACAGACTCTTGTCCATAGAAGACATGCAAATGGCTGACAGACACATGAAAAAATGTTCATCATCACTAACCATCAGGGAGATTCAAATCAAAACCACATTGAGATACCACCTTACACCAGTTAGAGTGGCCAAAATTAATAAGAGTGTAAACAACATGTGTTGGAGAGGATGTCAGGAAGGGGAATCCTCTTACACTCCTGGTAGGAATGCAAGTTGGTGCAGCCACTTTTGAAAACATTGTGGAGATTCCTTAAGAAATTAAAAATAGAGCTTCCTTATGACCCTGAAATTGCACCATTGGTTATTTACCCCAAAGATATGGATGTAGTGAAAAGAAGGTCCATCTGTACCCCAATGTTCATAGCAGCAATGGCCACCATCGCCAAACTGGAATGAACCAAGATGCCCTTCAACGGATGAGTGGATAAGAAAGATGTGGTCCATATGTACTATGGAGAATTGTGCCTCCATCAGAAAGGACGAATACCCAACTTTGTATCAACATGGACATGACTGGAAGAAATTATGCTGAGTGAAATAAGTCAAGCAGAGAAAGTCAATTATCATATGGTTTCACTTATTTGTGGAGCATAAGGAATAACATGAAGAACATGGGGAGATGGAGAGGAGAAGGGTGTTGCGGTAAATTGGAGGGGGAATCAAACCATGGGAGACTGTGGACTCTTAGAAACAATCTGAGGGTTTCAGAGGGGTGGGGGTGGGAGGTTGGGTGAGACTGGTGTTGGGTATTAAGGAGGGCACGTATTGCATGGAGCACTGCGTGTGATGCATAAAGAACGAATTCTGGAACACTGAAAAAGGAATTTTAAAAATTAAAAAAACCAAAGTTGAGGGAAATTGGAAGGGGAGGTGAAACATGAGATACTATGGACTCTGAAAAACAATCTGAGGGTGTTGGAGGGGCGAGGGATGGGAGGTTGGGGGAGCCTGGTGGTGGGTATTATGGAGGGCATGTAGTGGTTGGAGCAATGGGTGTGGTGCATAAACAGTGAATTCTGGAACATTAAAAAGAATTTTTTTTAAAAGTGGACATATTGTACTCTATGTCATCCTTGGAAAGCTGTCCATCATTATATATATATATATAGTCTATATATACATATAGACTATATATATATATATATTGACAATACCGTGATATATATCACGGTATTGTCAAGTATTTGGCTCAGCAATAGAAGTCCTAGAAATAAAGGTACATTAAATACAATTGCAAAATTATATATTCTATAAAATTAAAGCTAGTGTAAGGTAACATGAAGATCAATAGTAATGTGGGGACAGAGTGAAGAAGGAATGAGGAAGGAAGAATTGCAAAGAAAATACAGGAAATTTTGTGTAAAGTTGATTTGTTTTCTCTGGGTAATGCTGATTCTAACTGCAGGGTTTACATGATCACACTCTGTACTCGTGTGCAGTCATCTTGTGTCAAGTACATGCATCACAGCTATTGCAGTTAATCCCAGAGATGACTTGGGAGGAACGTAGAGATAGTGAAATGTTAGAGACTTGAAAATAGAACTGCACAAACACTAATTCTCTTTACTTTTTTAGAGAAAATCTAAAAGAAGAACAATCATCTTGTCCCCATCACAGGAAGGCCTCCACCTTCCTCATGAACCTGCCCGCTCTGTCCTGCAGGTGATTCAGAGGACAGCAGGTCTGGCGGGGAGGAGCCAGGCCAATTCCTTGGGCTCACACCCTACACAAGCTCTTGGACACTTGACACAACCTCTATAATTCTGGGTGTACATTCAAAACTCTTTATGGTGTAACATGAAACAAACACCGCAAGATGTGGGTGAATGTGTAAAAGGAGCACCGGAGGCCAAGTGTGTTCTCTGGAAAATCATATAATAAATAAAAATCACTTTTCCCATATCCTGTCAATGCCACAAAGTCACAGCAGTCACACCATCTCTGGTCACTGCCGTCTCCATCAGCTTAGATCCCAAACTGTATATATAGTCAGAGGACATGCAAGTAGGGCCCTTCCTCTGCTGAATAAAACAGACCAGTATGGACCCTGCAGCTGGGAGAGGAGACCCAGCCACAGTATTTCCTTGTGTTTCCATTCACTAATCAGGAAATAATAGAGAAAACTCACCATGGAGTTTGTGCTTGGCTGGGTTTTCCTTGTTGCTCTTTTAAAAGGTAGTTTACAGAGAATAAGGGACCTTGAGTGTGAGAGTGGATACAAGTGAGAGAGAGTGGGTGTGTGACAGTTTCCTGACAGGATGTCTTGTGTCTGCAGGTGTCGAGTGTGAGGTGCAGCTGGTGGAGTCTGGGGTAGACCTGGTGAAGCCTGGGGGGGTCCCTGAGACTCTCCTGTGCAGCCTCTGGGTTCACCTTCAGCAGCTACCACATGAACTGTGTCTGCCAGACTCCAGGGAAGGGGCTGCAGTGGGTCATATGTATTAGCAATGATGGAAGTGGCACATACTATGCAGACTCTGTGAAGGGCCGATTCACCATCTCCAGAGACAATGGCAAGAACACGCTGTATCTGCAAATGAACAGCCTGAGAGCCGAGGACACGGCCGTGTATTATTGTGCAACTGAGACAGTGAGGGGACTGCAGTGTGACTCAGACACAAACCTCACTGTAGGATGGGATCTGGACCACCGGGGAGTGCACACCACTCACCAGTTCTGTCTTTAAGCCCCAGGAGCAGGCACAGCTGTAGAATATGGGCAAGTTTCCTGTTAGAGTCTTTGGCACTCATGCCTTCAAGCTTTTTCCCCAAGGGAGCCTCTCTGGACACATGATTCTGTGCTTCCTCTTCAGTCTCTGACTTAGAAATTTGGGACAACAACTATACCAACAAGCACAAGATACAGTGTTACTTACACTTGCTCATTCCTACCCCTAAATACCAATGGATCACAAATATCTCCATGTATGTCATCTGAACCTTACAGCAGTCCCAGTTACTCTCTCTGTTTATCAGAGGACCACCCAGCTCAGTGTGCGAATCTTGTCAAAACCAGTGGAAAGTGCATGCTGGATATGAGCCTACAGAAGAATCAACAGTGCAAAGCAAGAGAATTAACAGCCTTGGTACACTCTCAATCTTGAACTATACTCACATTGTCAATTTTAAGGACAATGTGGGAAAGAAAAGGTAACCTGCACCAGGATGCTGTGTGGATACAGAGTTTGAAGATCACAAACACACACACAGACACACATACAAACCCAAGTGACTATAAAAATGTTTTAAATTTTATTTTTTCAGAGTTCCAAGATTCATTGTTTATGCACCATGCACTGTGATCCGTACACTAGATGCCCTCCTTAATACTGACCACCAGCATCATCCATTCCCACACCCCCTCCTGTCCAAAACACTCAGTTTTTTTCTCAGAGACCACAGTCTCTCATGGTTCATCTCCCTCTCTGGCTCACCCCAATTCACTTTTCCTTTCCTTCTCCTAATGTCATGTGTGTTATTCCTAATGCTTCACAAGTAAGGGAAACCACATGATAAATGATTATCTCTGCTTGACTTATTTCACTCACCATCATCTCCTCCAGTCCCAACCATGTGGATACAAAAGCTGGGTATTCATCTTTTGATGATGGCATAATACTCCATTGTATATAGGACCACATCTTCTTTATACATTCAGCCATTAAAGGGCATCTTGGCTCTTTCCACAGTTTGTTGACTATGGACATTATTGCTATGACCATTGGGGTACAGGTGGCTCTCCTTTTCCCTACTTCTGTATCTTTGGTGTAAATACCCAGTACTACAATTACAGGGTCATAGGGAAGCTCTACTTTTAATTTCTTACGGAATCTCCACAATGTTTTCCAAAGTGGCTGCACCTACTTGCATTCCCACCAACAGTGCAAGAGGGTTCCCCTGTCTTCACATCCTCTCCAACACACGTTGTTTCCTGTCTTGTTAATTTTGGCCATTCTAACTACTATAAGGTAGTATCTCCATGTGGTTCTGATTTGAATCTCCCTGATAGCTCATGAGGATGAGCATTTTTCATGTGTCTGTTAGCTAATTGTATGTTTTCTTTGGAGAAGTGTCTATTCATGTCTTCTGCCCATTTTTTGACATGATTTTCTGTTTTTTTTTTTTTTTTTTGGTGTTCAGTTTGAGAAGTTCTTTATAGATCTTGAATATCAGATCTTTTTCTGTAATGTATTTTGAAAATATCCCCTCCCATTCTGTGGTTTCCCTCTTTGTTTTGTTGACTGTTTCCTTTGCTGTGCAGTAGCTTTTGATCTTGATGAAGTCCCAAAAGTTCATTTTCACTTCTGGTTCTTTTGCCTTTGGAGACATCTTTAAAGCAGTTGCTGTGGCCGATGTCAAAGAGGTTACTGCCTATGTTCTTCTCTTGGATTTTGATAGATTCCTGCCTCACTTTGAGGTCTTTTATCCATTTCAAGTTTATCTTTGTGAATTATATAAGAGAATGTCAAGATTCATTCTTCTACACATAGCTGTCCGATTTCCCCAGGGCCATTTATTGAAGAGACTGTCTTTTTCCCACTGGATATTTTTCTTGCTTTTTCAAATATTACTTGAGAAGAGAGTTGAGGATCCATTTCTGGGCTCTCTACTCTGTTCCACTGGTCTATGTGTCTGTTTTTGTGACAGTACTATGCTGTCCTGGTGATCACAGCTTTGTATTAAATTTTCAAATCAGACAACCGATAATGCTCCCAATTTTGTTTTACTTTTTCAACATTTCCTTAGCACTTCAGGGTCTTTTCTGGTTCCATACAAATTTTAGGATTGTTTGTTCCAGCCCTTTGAAAAATGTCTGTGGAATTTTGATTGGAATGGCATTGAAAGTGTAGATTGCTCGAGGCAGGATAGTAATACTATAGTATGCTCTAGTAAGTGGAATCAATTATTGAATTTCCCTTTCTCTATTTTCACTGTTAGTGTATAGGAAAGGAAGTGATTTCAGTGCATTAATTTTGTATCCTACTGAATTACTGAATTGCTGTATGAGTTCTAGTATTTTGGGGCTGGAGTCTTTTGCATTTTCCACATAAAGTATCATGTCATCTGTAAAGAGACAGAGTTTGACTTCTTTGCTGACTTGAAAACCTTTTATTTCTTTTTGTTTTCTGATTGCTGTTGCTAGGACATCTAGTACTGTGTTGAACAACTATGGTGAGAGTGGGCATCCTTGTCGTGTTCTTGATCTGAAAATGGAAAGCTGTCAGCTTTTCTCCATTGAGGATGATATTAGCTGTGGGTTTTTCATAGATAGATTTTATGAAGTTGAGGAATGTTCCCTCTATCCCTATACTTTGAAGAGTATGAATTAGGAATGGATGCTGTATTTTGTCAAGTGCTTTTTTTTTTTTTTTCTGCATCAATTGAGAGGATCGTGTGGCTTTTCTCTCTTCTCTTATTGTTTTGTTCTATCACATTGGTTGATTTGCAAATGTTGAACCACTCTTGCACCCCTGGGATGAATCCTACCTGTAACTGTCTCTCAAAACAATGTGTTACTTAAAATATGACCCATGAGAAATTGTATTTGTTAGTGAACATGTTTAGATATAGCCTTAAGATAAACATACTGGTAACAGGCCTCTGGGGGAGAGGATGATATAAGTCCTTGAAGCTGAGGAGCTGGGGATGCCAGGCTTGCTCAGGGTGGACTGTCGCCTGATTCATGGAAGCGGATCAGCTGGGAATCCCCAGCCCACTCAGGGAAGAACACCACATGCTTCATTTTCCCATTATCTCCCCTTCCTTGGAGAGCACTTGTGGCTAATTAGATGATTCCTTTGAATGCGCTTGCTCAACTATACACTGTGAACTGCTTGATCAGATACATTTTGAATTCCTTCTTGTTTATCTACAAGGCATATGATTAATGTGTAGCCTTCCTTGGCTCTTTTGTTGATTACTGTCTATATCTAATAAAAATGGGACTGAGGAGGAGTTGTTCAGGGTGATAGTCTTTTCCACTGATGTCCCTGCTCCCTCTCTCTTGCAGATGACTTGTTTGTGTTTCATTCTTCTCCAGTGCCATGTCAGGAAGCGGCACCTATCTGGTCATGTTGGATAATGTTTTTAATGTACTGTTAGATCCCATCAGCTAGGATCTGGTTGAGAATCTTGGCATCCATATTCAACAGGGGTATTTGTCTGAAATTGTCTATTCTGATGGGGTCTTTCCCAGTTTGGGGAACAGGGCAGCACTGGCTTCATAGGAAGAGTGAAAATTTTCATTCTCTTTCTATTTTTTGAAACAGCTTCAGGAGAATAGGTGTTAATTCTTCTTTTAATGTTTGGTAGAATTTCCCAGGGAATCTGTCAGGTCCCGGGCTCTTGTTTTTTGGGAAGTTTTTGATCACTGCTTCAGTCTCATTACTAGATATTGGTCTATTCAGGTTGTGAATTTCTTACTGATTCAGTTTTGGATGTTCACAGGTTTCTAGGAAAGCATCCATTTCATCTAGGTTGCTTAACCTATTGGTATATAACTGTTGATAATAATTTCTGATGATTGTTTCTATTTCCTTGGTGTTGGTCTTGATCTCTCCCTTTTCATTAATAATTTTGTTATTTTGGGTCTTCTCTCTCTTCTTTTGGATTAGTTTGGCCAGCGGTTTATTGATCTTATTAATTTTCCCAAAAAAACAACTTCTAGTTTCATTGATGGGTTCTACTGTATCTCTAGTTTCTATCTCATTGATCTCTGATCTACTCTCGATTATTTCCCTTCTTGTGTGTGGAGTTGGCTTAATTTGTTGTTGATTCTCCAGTTCTTTAAGGTATAGAGACAGTGGGTGCATTCTGGATTATTCAATTATCTTGATGGAGGCTTGGATGGCTATGTATTTCCCCCTTAGGACAGGCTTTGCTGTATCTGATACATTTTGGACCAATGTGTCTTCATTCTCATTGGTTTCTATGATTTATTTAAGTTCTTCTTTGATTTCCTGGATGATCCAAACATTCTTGAGCTGGATGGTCTTTAGCTCCCAAGTGTTTCAATTCTTTCCAAACTTTTTCTTGTGGTTGAGCTCCAGTTTCAAGGCATTGTGGTGTGAGAATATGCGGGGAATAATCTCAATCTTTTGGTATCAGTTGAGTCCTGATTTGTGACCCAGTACATGGTAAATTCTGGAGAAATTTCCGTGTGTGCTCAAAGAGAATGAATATTCTGTTGTTTAAGGATGGAACCATATGAGGTTCATATGGTCCAATGTTTCATTCAAAGCTCTTGTTTCTTTTATTGATTTCCCTGCTTGGGTGATCTTTTACTGAGAGTGGCATGTTAAGATCCCATACAATCAATGTATTCATATCAATATGACTC